TTAAAACATATTGGAACACTTGACTTAGTTATTCAACTTTTTGAAATAAGTTGTGTCGTAAAATGGTGTTGCCTACATGGCACCCACAAGCTTGCTTTTCAACCATTTTAAAGGGACCTGTATCAGTTCGTTTTGTATAGCAGGATTTAAGTACTTTAGTGTTCCATCTGGCCTACCAATGAGGTGCTTTATTACAGCATCGAATTCGGCTCAACCTGTGGAAAAAAAAAATCTCCACTTCAAATTTTGTTTTCAAGGTGCTCTCTGAGGTTCTAGCCGTTTCTCTCCAAATGTATCAGTTGTTTTTGCTCAGCCGTTGAACAACTTGCATCCTTTATCTTTTGCTGTAGACCCTTCCATCATTTTGGACAAGCGCGGTGGAGATGCAGGTTTACGTTTGTTACCAAAGAGCCAACAGGTTCACAATGTGCACAGTTATGGTTGTTAGTATCAGCCCTCAGTTGGTCGTGGTGACGTAAAATTCTCCTTGTTGTTGTCTTGGAGAAGTGAACCTTCTGGTTTGTAGATTCTGTGTTCTATAATTGATAAAACTGTAGCAAGACGCTTTCTTCACATACCATTTCATGTGTCATAATCACAATGTCAAGATTAAGTACTATTTCGGTTTCAACATCAATACACATAAAAGAGCCATGCAAGATCGCTAGACGTGTATGGCACATTTGGATCAAGTACTTGTGACTCTTGAAATAATTCTCAATCTTACTCAGTTGCCAGTGTTTTGGCGCCTACAGTCCTTCATGCGGCTTATTTTGTTTTTACTACTTAAGAAAAAAGTTATCTATTTAGTGTCGTTTTTTATATAAGTTATCTACGTATCTTATCCAACCACACTAAAATATGGTTCGTTTAACGAACAACTAGTCTTAACCTACCATACCGTTGTTGATGTTTTTATTTTATCACAATGTGGGGATACACTGTTGGTTATAATATTTGATATATCTGCTTTTATTACTTCCAGTTTAATCTTATTTTTGTATTTGTATTATAATATCAATCTCTGTTAGCTTAGTATATGAATTTAAAATAACCTAAACCTCTTGCGCTGATCAAACCTTATGATACATTATTGGAATTTCGGCTGCAAATATGTATAACAGCGAGGGTACCCAACTGATGAAACAATGTATTCTTGTCTATTGTTATACTTAATCAGCTATGCTCGTTACTAAGTGTGTGTGTGTGTTCGCGTTTATATATATTAGTTCTAATATTTTGTGGAAGCTTGCTTTCATCAGAAGTTAATATTAATTCACCTATTATCATCATGAATATTTTTGTAACGTTTAATGGACCACTAGCTTTATTCTATCATGTTCCTTCATATAGTTTTTCAACGCATGTAAAAGAAGATGGTTGTTATCTGTCTCGGACATACCTAGTCCACTCTTCACTGCGATGATTGAAAATCAAACACAAGTGAACTTGGCCTGGGACAACTCATGATTATCGAACATGGTACCATAATTCCATGACCCACCCGCCTATTCCTTTTATCTAGAATAAAAATAGAAATATAAGACCTGATGTGGAGTGAGAAAGTAGGAAAAAAATGTCATGAACCACGATTGTGGTTCATAATAGGGATTGTAAGGAATTGCACAAAACCTGAATAAAACGTTCGGACAAAAAGCACCTTAAACAGTAAAGATTCAGTTCAAACAACAATTAAAAACCTTTACTATTGACTGCTGAGGCTGTACACATAACAAAATGCACAAAAAAGCACGCATGTTGGACTTATTATTCTCTTGCCAGCCTACAACAAAAACGGCTTGGTATATTGCACTCAAACCTTTTGTGAAATACTAAATAAGGCACTGCGAAGGTCTCAAGGGTATTAAAAAGTCGATTTGTTTCTTCTATATTTTGCGTAAACTAGAAAACATCATAATTCTAAAGCAAAACACGAACGTAGTAACAGGAAGCATTTACTGAACTTTTCGGAATCTTCCAAATTCCATCATCACTAATCTAGAGGTACAAAACAAACAAACAATATTTGTAATTACAACAGATATGATATACATAAGAAGTAAACAATTTGAATATACAAAGTATAAAAAGAGGAAATAAAAAATTTAGCACAAATGAAATAATTAAATTAAAATAAGTTTAAATCAAGTGAAGACTGTGTGTTATTTAGTGACGGAAGAAGAGTTTTTATGTATAATGTTTTTTATAAGAAGTTCAATATTATGTTTAGCTGTTGAAAGAATTTTAAGTTTGAGAGAGAAATCGGATATCCTGTTTCTGTATTGTGTTGATAGGTAGCAGAATTGGGATGGTTTTTAACCATTCTTCCAGTTTTTATAGATATGCCCATGTATTCATTTACATGCTCGTATTTTAAAGAGACGTTTGGCTTCACCAATATAGGAGGCCTTACAGTCTTCGCACGTTTTTAAGAAGACAGG